CTTTTCCTACTGTGAAATCCAGACATGGTCTACAAGACTGTGGTGAGGTCATTTACAATGGCAATTTTTAAAGTGACATTAATTTCTTTAAGGCACTTTAGGAGCTAAGAGCAAAGTAAAGCATGACATTGGATGCACAGGAGTTCTGATAATCCCTAGACTGTTCAATTTGCAGTCCTGGAATTGGTTGTCATTTTTGAAAATGTTTTAAACTCTGAGAAATTCAGGTCCCCATGGGACACTGAATTCAAAACAGGGATCATAAAGCTTTCTGCTTCCAACAAGTTATCTGCTGGCAACTGACACTCGCTTTAGATTTATGTACTTCATTGAAAATCAAGTTGAAAATGATTAATCAACTTACATGAAAATTGGTAAGACTCGGCAACAGGGCTTGGCTGGTCATCCCATCAACTAGAGGAGTTGGGAACTGGAATCTGTACCAACATTGTCTGAAATGCGATGCCGACATGCATGAACAAAATTGGGTGCACACTGCCTTCACCATGTGAGCAGAGGGAACCAGCAGCCTACTGACATCTTTAACTACTTAGTGAGGAACGTTCTGCATGCTGTGTATTACATACTGAATATTTTTGCAGATTTAAGTGCTTTCTTCTGGAAAAAATGGACTGAGCTTTGTATTAATTCAATCTGTATTATTTTCAATTAGGTAAAAGGCTCGTTAGGTGGCCCTGCAGTGTCTGTAAAACTAGCCTCTCACTTAGAAAAGTGGTAAAAACGAAAACCTAAATGAGAGTTTTATCTCATCCACTGAAACAAACGAGAAACAACTGGTTTTTTTTAAACTTCTAAGGAATAAGAAAAGAATTCTGATTATTTAGATCTTATTTGAATTTTTTCGTTCAACTTTTTTTCCAAAGAGTTTTAAGCCATGTGCTTGGGCCACAATCTTTGGTCTAAAAAGGAGGTCAATTGAGCTGTTTTCCTCTATACCAGGGCTGAATTTGTCTTGCAACTAGTCAAAACCTTAGTTTTCAGAACTTCTCAGAGTGCAAGGTTGCTAGTGATTCAAACAAAAATCTGTCCTATCCTGTGACCTTTCTGAAATGGTGATCAGGCTAACTGCTTTCAGATTTGTGTGCTTCATGAAAAAAAAAAAAAGTCAGAAAGTTGTCTGTGTTACCTCAATTATTGTGGACATTAGCAGGACTGAGGAAGAGAACTTGGTTGGTCCCATCCACCAGAGAATCTGGGAGTTTGGATCTGTACCAACTTTGTCTGAAATGTGGTGCTTGCCCACATGAACAAAAATGGATGTGTTTTTAGGGCTCATTACCTTCAAAATGAGGGAAGATGGATAGGATGAAGCAGAAGTATAGCATAAAGTGAGGATAACACATGACTTAATTTCATCTCTATCATTACAACTGTTTGTGAAAAGCATGCTAGAGTTCTTTCAACACATTGCCTAGTATTATGCAATATAATATTGAGGAAATATCTTTGTAAATGTAAAGTAAATTGCTAAGCATTTTTCATTGACTGATAATGTTCCTTCTTACATTGGCCATTGTATTTTCCTCTTGCATTTTCTCCGAACCCTCTGACTATTGCAGTAACATTGCAAGTCTTCTTACATATGAGGTTTCATCATGCTAGGTGCTGTGCAAACTCTGTCCAGAATGTCCTGACCCAAGGATGTTTAAAACAAAACACAAGAAGAGTTAAAGGGAATGAGCGCCTTAGCTCAAAATCAGTGCATGGCAAAACGTGTACATCTCGATTTACATTGCTATGTTTAGAAATTGCAGGATTATGAAGAAATCTGTCACAAGATTAATAGTTCTTTCTTGTCTATGTTTGTTCTAAGCACTGAAAGATGATTGCCTTTAGGATAACTGAGTAGGATATTCAGCAGATTTTGAAAATGACTGAATGTCGTTTTCCTCTCGGGATAATGAAACGTGGTTGAATGTAGGTGCACAGTTAGAAATTTCAAGCTGCTTTGCCAAGTGGTGAGTGCCAAGTGCACCGTGGCCTTTCACAGTGTTAATGTTGACCAAAGCAGTAATAAATACCTTGTCAGGCAGTTCTACCTGTAGCTAATCCCTTGGTATTTGACATTTTTTTAGAAGGGATCTGAACCAGAATGGACTCTCTTTCTGAAAATACAGCCAAGAAACAGGCGCTAAATGTTTACATACTATTAGATTCAGTGCACTGTTGAATGCACATTTAATGCCTATTGTATCTGAGTTGTTGGTAAATTTTAGTTTGGCTAGGTTAAATGTAATTGTCTGTTCTTTTCAACGAGGAAATATTCACAGTTACCTGAAATTACCAAAGTGTTGCTGATAAAGACGTTGCCCAATATTTTATCAGAAGTTCCCACCCAGGTTGTAAACTACTTTTCTGACTTAGCTTCAGTGATCCTTGTCCACAGATCTGTTTGCTTTATCTCTCCTCCACTGTGTAAAAAGATGCTGGAGGATGCTCTAGGAGCATTCCAAGGATCATCTGTAGCCCACCAGTGTCTCAGAGTGTGATAAATTCTCTATCCGTGTTATGGAGAGGTTTTGCAAAGATCTGTTGAGATTAATTCACTTAAGTTATATAAATCTGGTTGTATTTGCTGACTCTGGTTGTGTCACTCAAGACTGAGGCTTTTTTGTGTTTGTTGGTGTCAGGTGCCAGGGATAAATGAGCTATGAACATGCAGCAGTTTTGTAGTTAAGGCAAAGGCAGAAAAAACTGTTTGGTAAAAATTGTCCAGACAGTCTAAGGTTGTTTGCTTAGCTCGTGACTAGAAGTTCAAACTGGATGATAAGTGTTCAGTTCAGTCCCTGAGTCAGTCCTCTCTGAAAGATAACAGATTTAGAGCGTTTGTGATTGAGGGGCTTGGTGTAATAACTTTGTTTCATTGATTGGGGGAAGGAAGCCATAAACAAGCTGCAAATCTCTGAAATAGGTAGATATATGGGGGGTTTTGATAGATATATCTTGTGAGTGTGAATATAATAAATTTGCCAGGCCTGCATTGCAAATTTTAACTTGTTTCTCAGAATAAAAGCAATTCTCTCTACTGGTTGTAGAGACAGCATTGTGTTGTCTAGCTAATGTTCTGTGTTAGAAAAATGCAACCATTCAGTATCGTGCCAGCCCAAATGAACTCCTGTGGCACACAATACTAAATCTGTGTGCTAATATCTAAAGTACACAAGATCAGTTTTGCTGCAGTGCTGCAGCCTGGATTAAAGTGGCAGAACGGAAGCATTCTTGCTCATGTCTGCTGTTCTGTCTCACTTATGATTAGATTTTTTCAATAAGATACAAGATTTTGGTGTGGTAACATACCCGCATCTTGCTGCCACATTTTCCATTGCCTGTACCACTGGGACCCAGAGTCTAAGCTGCCTTTTCCAGTAGGCTGGTTGTAGAGTATATAATATTTTTTATTTCTTGCTGGGCTTCCTAAGGTACTCAGTTTCAGGTTGGGGATTAACATTAAAAGAGTGATTCCCTGAGTGATTTGTAAGTAATATTAAGGGTAATATAAAATTCATTAAGTTTATTTACTCTAAATAAATAATATGAAAAAGGATGAAGAGCCTGCCTCAAGCTCTGAGATTCCTTTCATGTATTTTTGGTTTACTAGCAAGTGACAGTTTAAAATTATAAAAATCCAAAGACAAAAGTGTTAGTAATTTGCTGCCATTTTGAAAGAAATGTGTTTCTTTCCTGAAATCACTCAATGGTATAATTTCAAGCTACTAGCTATGTAAGGAAGCACATAGGCACTAGATATTTTTAAACACCCATTTAGGCATCTTTTTAACTCTTTGGGCTCCTGACACCTGTGAAAATCTTCAAGTATTCAGAAAGCTTTTTCCAGAATAATAGTGGCTATAAAATGTCTATTAAGCTGAAAATCCAGAATAAGAAACACATCGATAACAAATGGCTCGAGGAGGCATTTAAACACACTGTCTATTCGTCTACCACACCATTGCTGCTGGAGTGCTAACATGGTGCTAGAACACAGTCACTTAAAAGAAGTTAACCATTGTAGCAAAGAAACAACTGCCCTCAAATCACCTTTTCTTGTGGCATGTTTTACTGCGTGTAAGAAAGTTTATCTCCCCTTCCAGCTGTTTGGGTCAGTGGTAATTTTATAATGCCCTGCCCTGTATGTTCTCTTTCTTTGATGTTTGACTCTAATGACTGAGTTGAAGATCAGGCAGTAAATGTTTTTAAATTCTTAACAGTCCTCCATGAGGGCTGTCTCCAGGTTATTTAACTCTATTTTTATCTATTCTTGTGCCTCTACTAGAACTGAATTTGTATTTTCCTATTTCTTCAGATTGTCCTGGATTTGTAACTTTGATAGCAGGGCTGTGGACCCTAACACACTGGCCATGGCAGTGAGAGAGGTTCTGCTAGGTTAACTCTTAGCCCTGCCTAAGAGTATGCATGATGGAGGACTGTGAACTAAAGAGTCTGTGTAAGAAACTCTACCTGCAACACAGAAGGCATTTTCTATCAGTCCTGTGTTTGTGAATCATTGAAAATCCAAAGGAAACCCTGTGTTTGGATCTGTTTCTAGGATCTTCTGAGATGCCCTTCTGGCCATGTGGGAATTCCTGAACCATAATCTCAAGACCATTAGGGTCAGCCCAGTTTTCCACTATGTGAGAGCTGGACAGCCTTCAATTTTGCTGCAGTTGGTGTGTATGTGGACTCTTTTTAAGGTGCCTTGGCAACCAAGTGGAATTCAGATCACTTAGCACGGATTAAAGAATTTGTTGCCACTTACTGATTGAGTTGCAACCTGTCACGGTGTCTGTCGTTAAGACTTTCCCCCTCCCAGACTCCTGGCCTACATGTGTGAGCTGTCTACCGCTCTCCTCTGGCCTAGATGGAGAGTTTTATGTTTACAAATTTGTGAACCATTTGGAGCTCAATCAGTAAAAGATTTATAATGGTCACTGACATTGTTAGTATTAATGTGGAAAGGTGTGTGGTTCTGATGCCCCTTTTCTCTCTTTTCATTTCAGTTCATTGCCTTTGCCTCTCTATTCTTCATCCTAGTTTCAATCACAACCTTTTGCCTGGAAACACATGAGGCGTTCAATACTATTATAAACAAAACTGAGCAGGTCATCAACGGGACAGAAACTGTGCTACAATATGAAATTGAGACAGATCCTGCCCTGACATACGTGGAAGGAGTCTGCGTGGTGTGGTTTACATTTGAATTTTTAGTACGTGTTGTTTTTTCCCCCAACAAACTTGAATTCATCAAAAACCTCCTGAATATCATTGACTTTGTGGCCATCCTGCCCTTTTACCTAGAAGTGGGCCTGAGTGGGCTGTCCTCCAAAGCTGCTAAGGACGTGCTTGGTTTCCTCAGGGTGGTAAGGTTCGTGAGGATCTTGCGAATCTTCAAGCTCACCCGGCACTTTGTGGGACTCAGGGTGCTGGGCCACACTCTGCGAGCCAGCACCAATGAATTTTTGTTGCTGATAATTTTCCTGGCACTCGGTGTTTTGATATTTGCCACCATGATCTACTACGCAGAGCGGGTGGGAGCCCAGCCTAATGACCCATCAGCAAGTGAGCACACACAGTTCAAAAATATTCCTATTGGCTTCTGGTGGGCTGTAGTCACCATGACCACCCTGGGATATGGGGATATGTATCCACGGACCTGGTCAGGCATGCTGGTGGGAGCCCTCTGTGCGCTGGCGGGGGTGCTCACCATAGCCATGCCCGTGCCTGTGATTGTTAACAATTTTGGGATGTACTATTCCCTGGCCATGGCAAAGCAGAAACTGCCGAGGAAGCGGAAGAAGCACATCCCTCCTGCTCCTCAAGCCAGCTCGCCCACCTTCTGCAAGACAGACTTGAACATGGCCTGCAATAGCACACAGGGGGACATCTGCCTGGGCAAGGACAACCAGCTGATGGAGCACAACAGATCATCAGGTAGGACCCCACTGGAAATGCATGTCCTCTGAAAACACTTTATAGACCAGTATGTTTGGTAAGGGTCAGAAAGCAGCCAGTCTTTCTGCCAGGAGAAGTTGTAGCACCCACCCTTCTCCCCAGTGTTTGCGTGTCAGTCTCATAGAGGACAAAGTAGGTATAGCGATGTTCCCAAACCTGTATGTAGCTGGTCTATACAGTTTTGCTTGCTCTGTTGAGAATGCTTTCCTGCTGCT